CGCAAAAATGACGAAATCGTTCGAGATTTGGTGTGTATACGTGCAGTAGGACTAAGGAACAAATTATCAAAAATTATGAGAATTTATGTGAATGAAGAGCGCTTCCAACTTCTTCCCAAATTAGGTGGGCAATTGCCCACCTGAGGTAGGCAAATTCCAGTTTACATAATTTTCTTTAAATCTTATATATAAAGCTGAATGTCTGTATGTATGTATGTCTGTCTGTCTGTACGTATGTGCGGGATAGAAATTTTTATTTCTGAACCGATCGGGACCAAACTTGGCACACATAAACTTCGGGGCAGGGAGCGTGTCATAGGCTACTTTTCGATCGATATCGATTTTATCGATTTTTTGCAAAACTTGAGCTACAGGGCTGGGAGTTGGCACAGGGGGACAATCGAGCATGCTGATTACAAATATATTATTGACAGGCCCGGGCGGAGCCGGGTTTGCCAACTAGTTTCCACATAAATCTGTTCTACACCTAAATTTTGGCATATAATAACTTTGGTTCCAAAACTCCTCCCCCCTCCTTTTTAAAATATAGAATAGCAACGACGCCGGTTCCTTGAAAGAAGAAAGCGCGCTCCAATCGAGCAACCTACGAAGCTGGAAATCAAGTGGGAAATCGTGAAAATCGAAGTGGCAAGGGCGAAGTCGTTGTACCAATGTTCATTTGCCACCCTCTTGCTGGGCCCTGGTGGAGTATGGTGGCTCCTGATATGTTAGTAACACGTAAACTCTTAGAGCTTTACTGAACAGACGACATGCACCCATTTGTGCAGTGGTAGAATGTTAGGGATAAAAGGCAGAGCAAAGTAACTTAACGTGCATCTGGACAATAAACACACTCATATCACAGCAGGTCATGCTTATGGCATGACCATTACGATAATCTGGCGAAGAAATGGCACGGCTTGAGGAAGTGCCGATATCGGCACGAAAAATAAACACGTAGTGTAGCAGTCGTGGGCTTGTTCTTGACCTCAAAACATCTCTCCATCCCGTGAAAAGTAGAACTTGTCACAAGAGGCAATAAGCTGATCCTTAGTAGAACTTCAGAACAATAGCAACGTTTGTCGAGCAATATCTCCTGTTGATGATGGTGTGGTCAATGATAATCTCCTTTGGGCGATCCTCAGGTACTGTAAGTTTACATGAATGGTGCTTTGTTTCCTGTTATACTCGAACAGTCTCTCTTCCTTTTCGTTACAATCTAGTTTATAATTCCGAAGTAGCTCGCAAAACATCTTGCTGGCTCAGATCTTCGTTGAAATCACCGACGAAGATCTTGTAAAAAGGTTTCTCTTTTCTGTAGACCTTCTCCTAGTCCATATATTAGGTTGTTCGGATAGTAATGTCGCATTATCGGCTATCATTCATGTCGCGAGGTGATCGGCACGAATAAAAGTGAATGGGGTGCTGTTCGGTAGAGCAATGAAAGCAACATAAGATAAAGCTCAAATGCTCGCAAAATTCGACCTATGTGAAGTTTGAAGCCAAAATTTCAAGGCTCGAATGCTTTTGGAACCGGAAAAAAAGTATCTAATAGTAAGCTTAAACAAATCTAAAGGATTTCTAACTTGCTGACGCAACACCCTTGCTAATTATGGAAAAACTCTCTCCACAAACTGCATGAACTTCTAATGTAGAGTACATGCATGGGCAAACTGGAGATCACTAGAGATTTTACAGACAGAGCTTCGATTTCTTGAGTATTCCTATTTCTCAAGTTTTGGCTTCAGACTTCAGGTGGAACAGAGCTTGCGGATGCGGATGTGTTTGTGTTCATAACCCACATTGCACAGTAATCCATACTGCACAGTTTTTGCTTTATCAAATGCGCCCTATTCACTTTTTCCGTGTCTACCCTGTTGCGGTAAGATATAGTGCGACAATGATTTCCTCAAGTCTGTCCTTGTCGTAGCTCAGTGTAAGGACGTAGGCAATGATTCATTGCAGGCTGGGATTCACGTCTCTATATTCGTAAACGCGCGATTCAGGTTGTTAGCTGAAAGAATCGATGTTGGCCGAATTCGTGCTGACAAAAACTTCCATGTCGCCAACTCCTCTGTTGTCGCATGTTCTCGGAACAATTTTCCTCCCCCTTAAACGTGGGAATGGGGTGTCGGACGACCTTCTTGTCTTGGTCCGTCGTATCTGATCTTCCTTATGTGCAATCAACTGATATTCGACGGATGCGTCGGATGCGAATGTGCGTGCGTTGTGAATACAAATCGTCTTTATTGTCGTCTCATTTTCGGCAGCCAAACCTCATCCACACTGGCGCTCCTCACCGGTGGCTCTTCTAAAATTGATGGAGCTATCACTTGCGTTCACCGTTGATATACTCGCAGGAACTAGTTAATCTCAAAATGTCTGCAGCTAGAAAGGGTCTGAGAGAGGCAACTTCAAACCCGCCTCTCCCACACCTACCCAGGGATAGGGGTGCTGCTTTTGTGGAGGCGAGGAGTCTGTCTCCCGGTTAAAGCATCGAATAAAAACACTTTTCTTGTTTAGATCTATTTACACATACCTAGAAGGGCGGATAATATAGTGTGTAATAGCACGCTAACACTCACTAACTTTTAACTCACTAACTCACTAACACTCACTCCACTAACCTTTTTCTGCTAACCAAGAAAGTCTTCTTCTTTGTCTTCAGAAGTATAAAGAGTTTGTATTGTGCATTGTGACGGAACGCTGTGATGAGGGTTACTACTCTGAGGGCCCTGCATGGGGTGCACATCCGGTTTGTTGAATTGGCACATTTCACATAAAGACTGTTTACATTCTTTGAATATGTACTCTACTCAGACATTAGTGCCGACGATGCGCGCGCCGCTTTCCGTGCCAGCGGCTTTCCGTGCCAGCCCAAGTTCGTGAGCGTGGCATCATTGCCAACGAGCGGCGCGCCACTGAACCTGGCCATTAAATGTTGTTCTGGAGCAAGTTATAGTCCCCCGAATTTATTGGCGCATGCTTGTCTAGAGTATGCATGACTGCTCCAAACATGGATGGTGTAGTGGTTAGTTCGTCGGTCTCAGTGACAGAGAGGGCCGATTATTCGAATTCTGTTAGCCTCCGCATTTTGCGTTCTTCTCAAACGCACCACTACTGCGGTGCGTTATTTTGGAGCAAGTTATAGCCCCTCATGTCCTTAGCGCATGCACGTCTAGCATATGCATGATCACTCCAACCGTGGACTTCAGGTATAGTGGTTAGTTCGTCGGATTGCAGGTGACCGATGAGGGTTCGAATCCTATTGGTTTCCGCGTTTTTTGTGTTTTTCTTTTTTTCACCTGATTCATGTACTTTTGAGGAAGAAGACATGTGAAAATGAGTAATCTCCTCCGATTATGTTGCCATATCATTCTCACAAGGAGCATCGTAATAATAAAGATCAATAGTATGTCGTGAAAGAGTTCAAAGATTCTTAGTGAATACTACATAACCTCGAGTCATTTGTAACTTAATATGTGAGATTGCACACTGAGTCCTGTTAGCGACGGCACCCATACTAGGAACTTCCCAATAAAACATTTTCTAGCCCAAGAAAATGTAGAAGTATGTTCTACTGATTAAAGGCAGTGGATCGGCAAAATTCAACAACTAAAGACCTTGACGCAATAGGTTCCTTATCGCCCACG